GGTCAATTAAAAACATTTATTTAATAATATAGTAAGTAGTTCTTCAGGACCATGGGTTTTCCAGTTTGGTTTCACCTCAGACACTGAATTTATGTTGCAGCTTCACTTTGGTCATTTTAATTTCCTCATCTTTAAAGGAAGGATGACAACAGATTTTGTCACACACTATACTGTGGAGATTAATGGGGATGATTAGGGAAAATGGATAGGCTTTATTAACATCTCACTAGTCAGACAATAGCTGACATACATTTTCCAGTAGTGTCTGAACATTTCTTTGATATTCAACTAGTTTAAGCTGTTCATATTCATATACTTTATTTGTATATACCAGACTAGAGGATGTACAGAAATGGCCTTTTACCCCAAATTTCTTTTTGAATAAACCTTTATTTAGCATCTGATGCTCAGAAAACTCAAATACAATAGCAGTCACATTAAGACCCTCTTTAGTGTTTTCTCTTCCACAATCTATTTTCAATTATCATATCAGTAGAGTATATATTTAAGAATATATTTATATACAAACCGCACACACAAAATCTTAAAACCAAGAAATAAGTAGACAGTGAAGGTGAAATAGAAGAAAATTATGAAAGTAACAAATCAGTTAAGAAAACGGAAAAAAAAAGTTTTCCTATTTTTCCAAGTGCTGGGTCGTTGAAAGACCAAGCCTGGTGATAGAGGCTTTTAATTTCAGCTACTCATGACGTCTGAAGCAGTAAGATCCATTTAATTAGAGCTAAATGGTGAAACCTGGTGTGCAAACAAAACAAAACTCAGGGTAAACAAAACAAAGAAAATGGGACCCAGTCAAGAGAAGCTGCGTTGGACTATGCCTCTTACATCTTCGGTAAGCATCATCTCCTAACATGCAGACTTCTGGGCCCTAAAACCTAGCTCTAAGAGAAAACCAGGTGACTTTTGGAAAAGCTATGTCTCAGCTTTATCAGTTATCAATAGGATTTAAAAGTACTACATCACAACACGGACAAGACATGGCAAATTCCATCACTTCGTGGAATCTGAAATTTCAAAGACAAAACAAAACAACGTTAGTGCCGTGAATGTGTACAGTTTTAACACCGGGACCCAGGAGAAGACAAACCTGAGCGCCTAAGCCTAAACAAGGTCATTTACTGTTGCCAATTACTAGTTTAGAAGCAAACCAGCTCCTCTTTGAGAATGTATGTGGCTCTGAAAAGAGCCTTTGGTGGTGTGGTTTTGAAGTTTACTTGGAGCTGGTGTACTTGGTGACGGCCTTGGTGCCCTC